CCCAATCTCATGACCCCGACGTTCCTCAGGCCCCAGCAGCTCCCCACGAGGGTGTCCCTCGGACCCCGGCTCCCTGACGTGCGCTGGCATCGGACACCTGCCGCGATCGACCTCGCCTGTCCAACTGCTCGGAGATGCTCTCCAGCCGCTCTCCGACCAGCAGCGCAAGACCGCCCTGGACCACGTGCACACGTCGTTCATTTCTAGTTGTGCTCATTTCTAGTTGTGCTCGTTTCTACTTGTTCCTGGCCCCCTAGTGGCCAGGAAGAGGCCCAGGATAGAACAATTAGAAATGAAAGGATCTTGGCCCCCCAAGATATCAAAGACCTTTCGAATAATAAGACATGAACAATGTGTACTGCACACTTGCTCAGGACTTGGAATCCACGATCAATGAGAAAGCGGACGCCGCCATCAAGCCTGGCAGGACTTCTCAGGGCCCACCCTCCCCAGATCCACACGGCCTCGGCTGGTGCGAAGTGCACCCGAGGCCGCGCAGGTGTTGGAAGGCCTGCCCAAAGCCCCTGAGATGGCTTCAGAATCGGCTCCAGGATGTTCGGCGCAACATCCAGGATGGGATCCTCCCTGGTTTCCATGACGCCCTGGGCAGTTTAGAAGACCGCCCTGAGCAGTTTGGATCGTCTCAATCCCTAGGTCAAGGGTTACAGGAAGATCGCACCGCCGCAGGATTCGTGCACGAGAAGTTCCAAGTTGGACGGCTCAACGCTAAGCTGAGAGGCCAGATTCGAGGTGAGCTGCTCGAGCAATTCGGCCAGACCCTCAATCCCGAGATGACCGCCGAGCGCAGTGAGGATGGGAAGAAATGGAGGGATTGGGCTCAGTCATTCATGAAAGGCGGCATGGGGTGGGCTCACGGATGGACTAAGAAGCTCGAAGCCTGGCAGCCTGTCTCTGCTTCGTTTCAAGAGCGGTACTCGGGCAGACCGCACCATGCTCTCCATGTTGAGGCGGATAGGCTATCCCGAATTCGGAACGTCCAGCCCCAAGCCCCTCCCCAGTTGGCCCCCCCCCCGTGGATGATAGAGCGGGCCCTCGGGCCCATCACCACCTGGGACGGCATCCGTCCCGGGCACTCTGTGCTGCTCGACGACGAGCAGGCCGGCCACATGTGCCAGATGAGCGAGCTGCTTGAGCGGCTTGGGCACATGCCTGCCCAAGTGCAGGGTACCACATCTGCCCTCGTGCTCAAACTGGAACAGCATGGGACAGTCCGAACCAAATCCAGCGTCCAGGTCCATCGGCATGCCTCCAGCTCTGCGCCGCGTTTGGGCCAGGCTGCGGCGGCCGGCCGCACGAGAAAGGGAGGTTCACCACCGCCCCCAGTATATTGCGCATCAGGCTGCGCACTCGATTGTGGAGCTCGTGTATAAGCAATCGTTGGAATGTTAGTGTCGGTCGAGTCTAAGTGACAAGCAGCACTCTGCCCAAGTCCCCTGGGACCTCTCAAACTACTATGAGCATGTGGATCGGAAGTGCCTTGCCGAGCGCGCCGCTGCCGCTGGATATCCGTACTGCCTACTTCGTGCTATTCTGTCTCAGCACTGCAGCTCCAGGTTCGTGGCACCTCCAGGTGTGTGTGTGTGTGTGTGCGTCAGCGTGGGTAAAGCGCGGAGGGGGTTTATCGCAGGATGTATCTGAGCGACCTATCTTGCTATATGTCCTTACCCCCTCGACCAGTGGACCGGCACGCACAGCCACATCATCTTGGCCATGTTCATCGATAGTGTCGTCTTGCAGTGCCATGCCAGGAGCTATGGCCGCTGTCATCGGCCAGACGAGCAGTGCTGCAAGGTCCCTTGCAAGTTGTATCACGTACGAGCTTCAATGCCAGATTGTCACCAACAAGAGCCTCGCCCTTGCCTCCAGCCAGGACCTCAAAGGCAAGCTCCACAAGACCCTCGGGTACCTAGCTGAACCTTCCAAGGATGTCTCGGCACCTAACCTAGGTATCGAGAGTTGAGCTGGACGGCCCCAGAGAAGTGGAGACTGGATAGGAAGCTTTCGGAGCGTATTCAGAAGAATCGAAAGCGCATGAATCGGATCAAGATGACCAAGCACGATGGAGGCAACGGCAAGCGATTGCACACTGCAGGCCTGGCCGCTGCCACGTCCTCTGGAGTACAGGTCACTGGCATCGGCAACACGAAGCTCCGGCAGGCCCACGCGCAGTACAGTCGGGCCGCTGAAAGAAGGAACGCTGAACAAGGAACGGAGCCCCTCTTTGGCCCTGTAAGCGCCTCCGTGCCCCAGGAGGGCAAGAACATCGAGCCTCTTCCGAAGCCAAACTGTTCCTCATCTCGGCGTCTCGACTGTACCGTTTGGCTGCAGGGCCACGATTCGCCCCGAGGATCCGGACCCCGGCCCTCCCGATCTGCCAGGCCCGCTCGTGGGAGGACGGCCTGGGCCCCGCCCTCGTGTGGAACCGTCTCCTCCTCCTCCTCATTCTCCTCCTCCTCCCCCTCCTCCTCCCCCTCCTCCT